CTTGTGGTCTCTTCCAACTCTATGATTCTATGATTCTATGATTCTCAGTCTCGGAGCAAGACAAAGGTAATATATCTTGCCTTAGGGTTGCCATAAATTGAAACAACTTGAAGGTACACAGCAACAATATATAACATTAAAATAGGTGAAACTTTACACCACTAGTTAGAAGGCTTCCCAGATCTCTAGGCTCCAGGATGATTCCTCCTGTCTAAGCATCCCTTGGCTACTTTTGATATGGGAGTATAAATGGTATGTGGTCCAGCTAAGGCCTTAAGTTACTTACCTTGTAACCGCACCAATCCTCATACTGACAACTTATGGACATACTCTCCCCTTGAATCCTGAAAATGCTTCTCACACTTCTGGAATTTTTATTGTATTCTGTATTCCCCAGAACATTTGACAGATTCCTGTTGGAGAAACTGCTAGAGAAGATGAAGTCTTTATTTGAATCAATTCCCTGAAAACTGTTGAGTAGAGGAAAGTTGTTTAGTGGCCCACAATCTGGCAGGCACATGCAGGCACAACTAGAAAAGTCTATCATGATAGATTCCATACTGGCTACTTGTTCCATAGTTATTAAGCTAGGATATTTAAATGGATGAATCATCTCCCATAACAAGGCACAACAATAAAGAACTTCATTTGGTTTGCTCATATTTTTAAAACATTAGATGACACTTGATTACAGGTCATGACTGATTAATATATATTTCAAGAGAAAAAGTATTGCATCTGAAGCCCTTTCTGCATGGGTCAAATATAATGGTCTCCCTCCCCATCCTTTCAGTGGGGAGTCACACAGGGACAGTACATGGCCCAGTCACTGAGTCTGGTGCAAATGTCTGGACTGTTCAGTGCCAAATCCAGGGTATACCCCTCTTATTGCATTTTTGTTGCATGCCTTCCAAGTAATTTCTGACTTATGGCAACCCTAAGGTGAACCTATCATGGGGTTTTCTTTGTTCAGAGGAAGTTTGACAATGCCTTCCCCTGAGGCTGAGTGTGTGTGACTTGTCCAAGGTCACCATGGATTTCCATGGTTGAGCTGGGAATTGAACCCTGATCTCTAGAGTCAAATTCAAACCACTACACCATGCTGGCTCTCATACCCCTCTTAAGACATATTTAATTACCATTGGGCTCCTTGGGCACACCTGCGGCGAGCGGGGAGAGGCGGACTTAAAAACGCCGC